CAAGCACCAAGAATACAGAGCATCACTTGCTCCAGAGTCCCTATCTATACCTTGTGGCTAAGAGCCACTGATGGACCTCTGCTCCATATGCTTATCTAATTCCCTCTTGAAGCCGTCAATGCTTGTAGCCGCCACCACTTCCTGTGGCAGATGAACTTCATTCATCCCTGGGCCACAGTGAGCCCCCCCCCTTCAGGAAAAGAAGAGATTGGATTTATACCCCACTCTTCACTTGGAGTCTCAGAACAGCTTACAAACTCCTTTCCCTTCCCCTCTCCACAACAGGCACCCTGTGAGGTAGGTGGGGCTGAGAGAGCTCTTTCGAGGACTGCTCTTGAGAGAACAGCTCGTCAGAACTATGGCTTGCCCAAGGTCATCCAGCAGCTGCAAGTGGAGGAGTGGGGAATCGAACCCGGTTCGCCCAGATTACAGTTCGCACACTTAACCACTACACCAAAATCATCAAGCAAAAAGGCTGAACAAATTATCATTTGAAAACCAACCCCCAACCCGGCTAATTCAGGTGGACTGTCTGATTTCAGGGGTAGGAAGTGATTTGCTGCCAATGCGCATATCCATGCGTGGGGAAATGCCCACCACCCAAGAATGCACCTCCATATTGCAACCTTCGGGACTGCACTCTATGTGTTCTCAGGAATCCTGCTGCAGTCTCACAGCTGGCACAAGGGACGGGTCTTGGAGGAAGGAACCATAAATATGCCTTGAACCATAAGGAAAGGCAGGATATAAATGTTTTAATAAACAAATAAATAAGACTCTGAACACAAAGCACTCAACCTCTTGGTTATACTAATGACCTTGGCTGAAGCAGAACAAAAGACAGAAGTTACTTAGGTTCATGATAGAGGGAAGAAACTCCCTTACACTCCTGCTGTGGATTTGGGAGCACAACCCACGCATGAATAAGCTTCAATTAGGGCAGGGGTCCCTACCGGGCTGCCCATGGGCATCATCGCGTCTGCTTACATCTTTCCCTGCGCCCATCAATTGTTGTTAGAAAGTGGGTGGGGCGAAGTTGGGCATTTGCCCAACAGGGATTCTGACTGGCCACTGGAAAACCAATTGGCTGAGCAGATTAAAACAACATTTCAGTGGTAGCTGCCACCTCAGGGTCGGTTTTATTCTCTGCCACTCCTCTTTTCCAATATATTTTAAAAATTACCCCCCTTTCCTCCAGCACTCGGGCTTCCTCTGTGTGTGTGGCTCCACCCCCTACAGCCCCCCCTTTGTGGTTTGCTCGACCCCCTGTGGCAGCCATTTTGTGGTTGCACCCAGTTCCCTATAATAGAATTCCAAAGGCTGTGGGCCAAAAAAGGTTGGGGACCCCTGACATAGGGTCTCAATCTTGCCCATGTGGGAAGGGACAACGGAGGCAAATCATCACCAGAAAATCAAAGGTAATAACCAAGTTTAAACTTCTGCAACTTCAAGAAATGCCAGCCTTCCGTAATTAAACAACTTTCAGGAGAAGGTCTGCGTGTGGGGAACGGGGACTGCGCGCTCTCACCTTTTCTTTGTTCCCTTGCTCGGTCCGAATGCTTGAACAGAGCATGTGTATTCTTTTTATTTGCTTAGTAAACTTCCTTATATTTTGAATGTTTTAAATCTAACCTCTGGAAATGCACCATGCCTATTTGGTCTCACTATCTGAAAGATGGCATCAAGGAGAGGGCAGCGAGTACCATGCCTGGCGCGTAACTGCTCAAAATTGTGGTAAATTGCCCCTGTGCTAGCTTGTGGGGTGTAATGAGAAGGTGCAGCAACTAGGTGGAACCTCTTAACAGCACCACAGGCACAGAGCGTTTGACATATGGCTCCGTCCAGCAGGACTCAATGGGGGCAGCAGGTGGTACTCAGTTTGCTTTTAGTACCCCAGGGGAGCAAGGGATAAGGGCAGCGGCACCAAGAAGGGATGTGGGATGGCCACAGGGGTTTTCCAACCTCCTGGAGGCAGACCCGAAGGAAACAGGCGCTTGCTTGCTTGAAAGAACAAACACACAAGCCCTGCCCCTGTGAATTCCTGAGCGGAGGGCATTTCTCCACACCATGTAGGGAGCCCGGAGGAGTAGCTGCAGAGCCCCGAGGCTGGCTGAAGTCAGCTCCCTTGAACTGGGCTCCGTGCCAAGCCAGGGAACCCAGCCAAGCTGCCGTTCCAGTTGCCTGCAGGCAAAGAAGAGGACTTTGGGCCTCCCCCATTGTGGCACAAGAATGGCTGGGGAGGAGGGGCTGGGAAGCAGAAACGGGGGCAGGCACACACCGGACCTGGCCTCGTTCCCAAGGAAATCAAGTTTCTCAGTTTTGCTCCTTGCTTGATCTTGTAGGATGGGTGAGGCGGGGGGCTTAGCTGCTGAGCTACAGATCAGGAGAACTCCCAGGACAAACTTTACTTCTGCCCCGAGCTCATCAGTTGAACCCCCACTCAGGCTCAATCCCCCCAATATGCAATTGCTGTGACCTACCTTACAAGGTTAGTGTAAGGACGGCAGGAAGACAGTGCATATGAAACACTTTGGATGTTGGATCATCTTAAAATAAGGTCACAGAGATTTGTAGACCAAGTCCCTGCTCTCCCAAGGAGCTCATGGTCAAAATACCTAATAACAGGATAATTTCCAATGTGTCACAATATGTCAAATTAACAAAGCTTTATTGCAATGCAAATAATACTATAAAAATCCATTAAAACAAGGGGTCATTTCCTGCGGGAGCGCACAGGAGCGGAGCTCCGGCAGTAAGGAGCCCAGGGGGCGGACACATGCAACAAGCCCCGCCCCCTGCTCCCAGCAACCCTCAGTCAAGCCACGAGGAGCAGGAAG